CGCAAAGACCTAACCAACACGGCCACAAAAAAGGCTGAAAGAACATGGCTGCCATTAACTATGGTTTGAATCATTAAGGACAGAGGAGATGAATCTTCTCAAACATAGACATCCATGTACCACAAAATTGCACATTCAGTGATGTCTGTGACCCGTCCAACTGATTTGCACAACTAATGCCCGAGACAAACACCCATACCTGCCTCCGAACAACTTACGCCCCAGATATAACACTACCTGCCTGACTGCCTAGCCTAGCCTAACTCCAGACAGCGCAGACAGCATAAGTGCGAGCATGGAATCAGACAAAGCATAACAGGTACCGAAAACGTCTTTGCTGCTATTCGAACGAATCACTTCAATCCCCAGCCGAATACAGCTGCATCATCGTTACGACAGCGTTGCATGCACCCAGCGACAATCCCAAAACAAGCCTCAATTTGGTGGATGTAAGTGGAAACAGGCACACCTCGTTACCATCTGACACCTGACAATGGATAAGTGAGGACAGCACAGGACCGTCTTGATGCGTTGGATTTTTTTGACGGCGAAACCGAGCAGCAAAGGGACTTCAAACATTTGCAAAGGACTTCTATATGGGTAGGACGGGTGTCAACTCACCCCCTCCATAGGATCCATTAGACACTACAAACGAGGGGGGGGGGGGGGGGGGGGGGGGGGGGGGGGGGAGGGAGTCGAGGAAGGAGGACGAAAACTTGCACCCATGCTTCCCACATGTCTCCCTCTCATTTGTCAGGAAAGACGATCAACTCTCCCTCTCATTCCTCAGGAAAGAAAATCGACAAAGCGGCATACTGGCACTGCAACTTGTTTGGATGCATCTGTCGACACTGCGGGCCAGAAGATTGGGCATGGATCTACTGCTGCTTTTCCTCACTCCGATCACCCACCTTGCTGTTTCGTTGACGGCCTCGTATGTCTTCTGTTCGGGTCGACGGAAGAAGGCTTAACCCTCCAGTAAGTTTCCAAGTGTTAGGCTATCGGTTGGCGCTGCGACCTTGAAAGGGGTTTAGAGGGGTCAGGGCTGCTCGGCAGGCGTAGTAGATGAAATTGGCCAATGGCGAACACGACCGCCAAAGGTCACACGGTCCGTGCAAGACCAGGCAACAACCGAAAAAAAAAAAAGGGGAAACGTACTGATGGTTTCAGAACCTTCCTTCCACAAGCACACTTCAGCGTATCATTCTGCTACCGTCATCACCCGAATATAACGCCCGTCGCCCGGTCATTACAGCTGTTTTCGGGGCAACATGCAGTCCGGATACAGCCATAAGGACCGGGTGTTCTATTCGGGTGAAGACGGTAGGACCCTTGTAACAACTGTATGTACCTCGTGTGTGGCTGAATGGTACATAGTCTACAGACAGCCATGCAACTACTGGTGAACAGATCTAGAGTTCAAGACTTTGAATCCTGTTGGATACAATTCTTTCCTGTTTCCCCTCAAAAAAACGACCCTTACAAATACTAAAACTGTGCGGGACACAGTCCTTCAGGACATGCGTCAAAATTGGAACGATACAGAGAAGATTAGAATGGCCCCTGCGCATTAAAAAAAAAAAAGAAAAAAAAAAAAAGAAAAAAGGGGTACGGGACATAGACATCAATTGAAAAAACTGCCACAAAAACTGCGGTCCCCAGGAATGGCACACTTGTGCAGACAAGATAGATTCCCCAAGCACTGTATTTCAGTGTTTTTCGGTTCCCAATTGTTCTTTTTTTTGTTTTTTGTTTTCTGAGTGTGTGTTGAAGGGGGGGGGGGGGGGGGGGGGGGGGGTTCCCAATTGTCACGTAACCCAAACATTGTATTTCAGTTTCGAAACATCGAACATCCCAGACATTGTACTTCAGTTTCTTAAAACGTCCCGTACCCTCGCGGACCAAAAACCAAAAAGGCAGAAACGCCATCGGGCTAACTGCACAAAGGTGCACACAGCACCCAAAAAACTTTTGCGTGCTAGCCTCAGACCTGAGTACTCACACTCGGATGTTTTCTTTTCCTCATCTTCTCTCGCGACTGATACACGCCCCGAAAGTCCTTAGCCCTACCGTCTTCCCCCCCCCAATACAACATGCGGTCCTTACACCGGCATTTGGTGCAACTTTCAGCCTAGACACACAGCCACAATGACCGTACATTCTTATTCGCGGGAAGACAGAAGTGAAAAGGTATGCGGGCTATGTTCTTGGTGACAACTAACCCACAATGTAGGTCTCTCACAGGAATCAAAATGATCAATGGATGATCGACGAAACGACTTGGTGCTACCAGGGCTTGTTCCTACCGCCCATAAGCGGTTAACAGGGACCCTCACTTTCCAGGCCCAGTTAACCCTGCAATACAGGCAACTGGCGATCGTGTTTCACACTTGCATGCATTGCATTCTTTGCCGATCGATAGGCGGTTAAACCACCAGTACTTGGGCACTGCGCGCCGCGCCGGCCGCCCAAATCTCGAAGCAGCGCGGGCTGTCGATTCGATTTATCGACGGCCCGCCGGCCGCGGAAATCGCGTAGCGTTAACGCTAAGGCGTCGCCCAAGTACTGGTGGTTTAACAACAGTGCACCCATGTCGACCTTTTGGGGAAGATCAAGGGTAGTGTACCTGTTCTGATCGGTTTTTTATCTGGTGGGGTGGGGTGCAGGGGGGGGGGGGGGGAGAGGAATTAGAAGAGCAAAAAGGGGGGGGTTCAGCGGGGCACTCACGAAAGTTGGTGCGCAGCCCTGACGGTCACAGTGGGGAATGCCACCACGAGTGCAAGAGCAGAGCATAACCCACAGAGCGGAGGAGCATTCCCCTCCGTTCCCCGCATCTACCCCCCCCCCCGTGCTACCTCACTTCCGCCTCATTGCTGCCCGTGAGCAACTGTGACAGTCACAGCGGGGAATAACAGAGGCAAGAAATGGAAACCCCACAAAAACGCCGACATTAACAAGGGGGAAAATAACCCCTTCTAAAAGGCAACAGCGGGGAAAAAATGGCAACAATAACATCGGCCTCATTGCTCCGCCCATGGGTGGGAACCATGGGATTCTCAAGCCTCGTAAAGCCGCCTAAAGGGAAGTCAAGGGGTAATGACGAGCTTGGTAAAATACGATCTATAAATATGGCGATGACGCCGATGACTGATAAGTTGATAGCACTGATAAGCTTCTACGAAGAAAAAACAACCACGGAGGGTACCCACCCATGATTCCAAAAAAAAAAAAAAAAAAAAAAAAAAAAAAACTGAACCAAGTCCCCACCGATGAAAGTAGGGCGGGAGGCCCATATGCACAGAAAAAAGATAAGCATTAGGCAGGAAACTGCAGATCATCCATCATAGCCAGGCCATGTGGCTGAATGGTAAAACGTATGTACTTGTTAGTGAGGATATCACCCTCCTTTTTTTTCTATTTGGAATCCCTTCTAAAATATGAACAACCTTCCCCTTCTAGGATGCAAAAGCACCGCACTGCTTTTCAGCTCCCCTCCATGACACATCCCGCGGCTGTCTGACTTGAACTGTTACAGACGGTTAAGCCACCCCCGTAAACCTGAGGCCGCTTTTTCCCACTGCACCTTTTTTTTTTTTGCTCACCCTGTTTTTTTTTTTTTTAATTATTATATTCCATCCTGTAGTGGTCCCGCTGCACCTTTTTTTTTTTGCTCACCCTGTTTTTTTTTTTTTTTTTTAATTATTATATTCCATCCTGTAGTGGGCTTACTGCGCCACACTACAGGATTGGTTCGCGAATACCCGCTCTCGTCTGTTCCACCAGTGCACTTTCTCTGCGCACCCGTGTGCGCCCTCACGAGATGAACGTGGGAGCACTGGCAGAAAGGAAGCAAGGAAGGGAGGAAGACGTGAGAGGCAGATGCGATCTCTGTGGTCTTTTTTCTTTCGCATTTCTTCTCTATTTTTCACCTTGACTGTTTCAAGTCGGAGAGTTTCCTCGCATTTGCGTAGTCAATTTGGCAAATTGGAAGTGCCCATGAACCTGTCCACTCCAGCGGCGAAGCGCCAAGGTACGACTAACAAAGAAGAGGCGGCAAGGGACAAGTGTGGGTGTTTGGCTGAGGGGCTGAAGGGTTGGAGAGAACCTGGAGATGGAGGGTGATGTACATGACAAGGACGATCCAGACAATCGCAGGGCAAACCTGATAAAAGGGTCGAAGCGACGGTTCAATCCTCTTAGAATAGCATTACCGATGATAGCCGCGAAGCAGCCACGACAAACGCCATGTTAAGTGCTCCCCGGGACAAAAGAACAGCAGCGGCAATCACAGGTGAGCATACCGCAGGCAGCAGCAGCCGCTGTCAAGTGTCCTTTGCCACACAGTGAACATGTTACGTCTAGCCCATCTACATGGCCACAGAAGCACATGTCCATGGCGGCGAGTGAGGACAGTGCATACAATGCGGGGAGAAGGAACAGTCATCGCTGGACATGGCCGCAGAAGCACATGACCTGATAGTCCAGATACCAGTCTAGATGGACAACCAGGCCCAGGCAGGTGTGGATGGAGAGAAAAAAAGAAACACGGCAGTTCCCAACAACAGGGAATATAATAATTAAAAAAAAAAAAAAAAACAAGAGGGAGGACTGAGGGACGGCCTGGTCCTCTGTCTTGTCTCTTGTCTGCTCTGAGCCCCCCAGAATCGAAGGGCCATGTTGTTTGGGGAAAAAAAAAAAACAAGAGGAACAATTAGGGGGCTTAAGCTGGACCACTCGGCAAACGTGCAAAAAAGACCAAATAATGGCGATGGCGATCGTGTTCTTCGACCTTTCTACCTGAACGTACGCTTCCTGTTTTCCACACTCGACAAGTTGTGATTGCAGTGGGGCTCTTAAGCGTTGACATCAATCGATACCAGTTTGCCACTGTCAGTCTGGACTGATCCACACACACACACACACACACACACACACACACACAGAGCTCGTATATCGTCAGAAGGGGTTGCCGAAGTTAAAAAACGTGTCTTCGTGCTCACCTGAGGGTTTCTCTTCGGCATCTGCTGAACATCAAGAGCTCGTCCCAACTCTGTCCAAAAACTGGCAATTTTACCTGTGGTCAATCAGGAATACCAGCCGCCCAGCGAATGTCAGATCCTACAGCGCATGATTAATAAATTAATAATTTAATAATAGTATTATAATACCCACAGAGAGACGAATCGCACGGCACACTTGTCATTTTCCATGTTCTTCGAAGTCATGATGGCCATGGCCATGGGTTTGACAAATACGACAACAAAAATTTAAAGAACGAAAAGAAAAACTTCACCGCGCGAAGTTTCTAGAGACTTCTGCAGCCACCATTCCAACGCATTGCCAGTCAAGATGTGAACACCAACATCCGGTAGACCATCACGACATCAGGGCACAGCATGCAAAGCCATTCTCTCGGCCTCGACAGAATCCCAAGGAGACCTAGCCCATGTACGCGAATGGTGCACCCTTATTGCCTTTTGACAAACAGATCACAAGTTGGAGTCCTGATGGAATAAGACAGATGAAAAAACATTAGGCGTTACCTCCTTCAAAGAATTCTCAACGAGAACATGCAACCTGGAGCATTTGTCAAAAAAAAAAAAAAACTTACCTGTGCTCTAGCACCTCAAGCTGGAGCGTCGACAACCAGATCGATCACAAGTTGTCAGAAAAGCGGATCAGTCGCAATTCTCTGCACCTCCCCCAAAACACGTCTACATTCAAGCATTAAATCCAACCTTCTTTGCTAGTGGGACTTCATCCCTGACATTGTGGCTTTCCTTCTTTTTTTCTAATGCTTAGTGCTTTCTCAGATGCCTGCTGCCAGACTGTGTTAAATTGGTGCCCCCTATTCCTTTTTTTCATTTTTATTAAATAATTTAAATTATTATTATGTTATTTCTGTTGTGTAGTGCGTCCTTTTCAGAAACCTGCTGCAGTACCCAGCCCATGTGACTGCATGGTACACCCATCAACTGTTAACAAACAGGGAATCCTGAGAGAATCATATATAAGCAAAATAAGGCTGAATTACCTCCCCCATCAAATAGGCCTCAGTTGGAATCCTGAGGGAATCAGAAATGAGCAAAGTAAGGCTGAATTACCTGGGGGCCTATCACCCCCTTCAAAAAGGGGGAAAAAGGAAATCTGCTGAAGAGGCCATTAATTAATTAACTTAGTTCATATCAGGGAACCCTACATCCAACTTCTTCTTCTTCTTCTTCTTCTACTACTCTTCTTCTACTACTACTACTACTACTTCTCTTTAACTCCGGGCGGGATGTCACTTGGGGACTTCTTCTTCTTCGTCTTCTTCTTCTTCTTCGTTTTTTTAACTCCGGGAGGGGTGTCACTTGGGGGGGTGATAAGAGCATCCTCCAAAAATGGTCCCTTTAATCGGAGGTTCCGTCTATCGGTGGGGAGCTTCACCTCCAGGAAAGCCCAACTGCTTTTCATTTCCAAGATCCACAGATACTGTTCCTGTGTGTTTGTGTAACGCCAGCTACTTGCCCGACCCCAAAAAAGATCCTGGTGACGCTTCCCTTGCGCGAAAGAAACCGACTGAAAACTCGGTGCCGCCTTCCGAGGTACCCCATACGTAATTGACTCGAGGTCATGGACCACAAAGATTTTTTTTTAAGGGTCAACCAACAACATGACAAAATGTCCCTCAAGTCCCAATTTCCCTTACGGACATCCACGTGCTCCCCGACTTCCCATGGCCGGGATTTCGGCACCATCATAATGAGCAAAAGAAAGCCCCACTGTATGAACATATGTATGTCATAAGCACCCTAAGTTCAAGCAGAAGGAAGCAAGGCGGGAGCGGTGGGGGGGGAAAGGAGGAGGAAGGGGGGGGGGGGGGGGGGGGGGGGGGGGGGGGGGGGGGGGGGGGGGGGGGGGGGGGGGGGGGGGGGGGGGGGGGGGGAGAGCTCCACAACTGGTTCACCTGTAAACTGTTGACGTACAGACCTTAGTTCTAAATTCTAATCCAGACCGGACCAGATGCATTGAATTCCTGAATTACCTGGGGGGTCAGTCATCTTCACGACGATATCTCAAGGGCGTCATCCTTTTTTTCTAAAGAAAGAGAAAAAGAATGCAGTCCCGTTGAGATTTGCGAGTCTGCATGATATTGGACAAGCGCGCCATATCAGATTCAGGAATTCCTTTCTGAGTACAAACCACCGGTACAAAACGCCTCCCTCTGAAACTCCTGGCCATGCACACACACGCAGGCCGCATTGCGCATGGATGGGCCTACCTTCTTAAACTACCTCCCTACAAACCACCGGTATAAAACGCCTCCCTACAAACCACCGGTACAAAACGCCTCCCTACAAACCACCGGTACAAAATGCCTCCCTCTGAAACTACCGGTTCGATATGTAAACTTAATGCAAACATTTTGCAACTGGTCAGGTGCAATGCAGTGGTAGTTAAGAGTAGCAATAATTCACAGATGGGAGAAAACCACCTTCTTAGTGGACTTCCAAGGGGGGGGGGGAGGGAGAGGGGAGGGTTAGAGAATAGGGGAGGGGGCGGGGGTTAGTGAGACCCTTCAGGAGGCTGGAACCAGCATCTCGGGAGGGAAATCAAACCTTTAATGTAGGTTGCTCAGAATAGACCCTTTACAGCAGAGCATATGAAACCATCAGTGGTTGGCGGGACACTGCGGTGTGCATCCAGCCAGCCATTGCTACAGTGCCGCAATGTTTCCACTCAAATGAATTTGTGCCAGCGCCCTTGGACCGTTCATCCCCGCGCATCGCTGCGTGTATGTGGCCGCGACTTTCAGAAGTACGGGCCGTTTGAAGTCGTTGCCGCCAAAGTACTGAACTGATGCCCCTCGGGAAATGCATTGAACCTCCGCCAGTAGGACCCCTCTTCCCCAAATCTTCCGGCCGTACGTACACAAGCGGGCCACGCTTTCAGTGTACCCGTGTGGCGCACGGAGCAGTTCTCAATTCTTTCAGGCACAAAAATGGGAATGAATCTTCTCTGCTAGAACACGGAAAGACACACCGCCATATTTTTTGCCTTTCGTGCATGTGGTGAGTAGTGGACCCGTGTGGCGCGCGGAGCAGTTCTCAATTCTTTTAGCACAAAAATGGGGTCGGCAATTTCGCATCCACCGTGTACTAAGTGTACTGATGGTTTCAAATTCGAATAGAACAGTACAGAGAAGGGGCCTCGAGCACCTGGGGAAATGTGCAAAAGTGGGAATGAATCTTCTGCTAGAACTCGGAAATATACACCGCCATATTTTTTTTGTCTTTTGTGCATGTGGTGAGTAGTGGACCCGAGGCCCAAGGTTAGCATGCCTGCCTCCCCCACAACTATGACAGACTGTTTTCACTTTCACAACCAACAAAGAAAAGGAGAAGACTCATTGTTTTCACTTTCAGAACCAACAAAGAAAAGGAGAAGACTCATTGTTTTCACTTTCAGAACCAACAAAGAAAAGGCGAAGACGCGATGCCAGAGAACTGACTTCAGGCAAATGTGCCCCAATAACGGCAGGGCCATCTGGACACCACACGGAAGCCGCGGCGTCATAGCCTACTGTAAGTGGGTTGGGTACTCTCGTGCCCACATAGTAGGACTTTCCTGGATGTATCTGACTGCAATTCCGACCAGATTCTTAGTCGAAAAAGTCATCGTGCCAGTAAGATCTCAGTGAAGTAAAATGCATTCATGTACCGGAGATGTGATGTACTTGCCAAGTGGCTGAATGGTCGTACGTGCCCCGAAACTGCTACAAGGAACAGCCAAAGAGTTCACATCCTGCTGAATCGAATCTCGCCAAGGTCGTCCTTCGGGACATACGTTCAAAAATTAGAACAAGACAGAGAACATAAGCATGGCCATTGATCTTCGTATGCTTTTTTTTTTTTTTTTTTACAGTTTTTTTTTTTTCTTTTCTTTAGCTTCGTATTCTAGGGTCAGAAATGAAGAAATTGTCCCTACTGGGGACATCGTTAAAATTGGAACGGTACAGATGGTCCTTATGGGACGCTGGACCCGGTTTCCAGCACGTGCTGCTCCCCACAAATAGATTGGACTCATTGGAGCATTTGTTAAAAAAAAAGAAAGCAAAAAAAAAAAGACTACCATGCTAGGCTACCAGCCGGGCCGCCCGGGTCACCCGGGCCCGGCCGTGCAAGGACTAGGGAAGGTCCCAGCCAAAAACAAAAAACAAAAAAAAAGAATAATCAAAAAAATCCGAAAAAAAACTATGTTATGCAGAAAAATAAACTGAACAACTCTTGCCTCAGGGTGACATCGAAATTCTTTACCAAATTTAAAATAAAAATTTTAATTAAAAAGTAATTTTATTTTTTTATTTTTTTATTTCTTTTTGGCATGGCCGGGCAAGTGGACCCGGCCACTCTGGTAGCCTAGCTACCATGGCTCCTGCGCAAGGATGACACGAATAAATCGAATCAAACCAGAAAAAATCCCGGTACGTGGGACTTCAGCCCGGGATTGGTAGGTATTGCTTCACGGACAAGCCACATTCCCAAAGTTTCTTGTTAAAGCACCAGAAACACCACACATCGGCCCGCGGGTGTCAGCACGAAACCCGCACCACTTCCGCGGCTGCCGATATTTTTTTTCAACGGCACCCCACGCCGCGCGGCCCCTCCAAATTTTGCTCGTGGCAACAAAAAAAACTTTCTGCAAGGCTGGGGCCGTGTAGTTGCAGTTTAAGTTGCGTCGCCAAAGTTCGGAGTTGTTTTCAGTTTTCTCCCAAACAGAGAGAAGCATACACTAGTACACATCTTCATAGTTAAGACATTAAAATTTATAACAAACAAATGAAAAAAAAGGAGACTTATTGAACGCCCGTCGCCCGTGTCTCGTCAAATAAAAAGCGCATGGTGGACGTCTTCAAGTCAAATTTGTCAATTTCAAATGCAGGTTAAAAAAAAAAAAAAAAAAAAAAGAAGGCAGGTATACAGCCCTCGAGAACAGTCCAGTGACTGTACTCAGAAAGGGGGAAACGGGCAAGAACCGGCGAGGGGAGGGGAGGGGGAGGGGGGAGGGAGGGCTGTGACAGACAGTTCTGTCTGAGCTTCACCAACT